CCTGCCACTCGGAAGAAGGAGTCGGGGCACTAGCCATAGCAGCGGTGGTGGCTGCACCAATGTAGATCGAATGCCCGGAGTAGTTCGACTGGGATGGTACACCGGCCGCAGCGACAAGAGACCATACTGTTACTGTGAATGACTGCCTGGTCAGCTGCTGTCTGTTCGAGAGTACGAGCAAGAGTTGCTCTGGTCCCTCGCGACGAGTGACAAATGGATAGCTAACAATGGCACGGACCGGGCAGTATGGCGGTACAGACGGGCCAATGTCACTAGTAACGCCTTTACCGAATGGGTCCGTCTTGGATGAAAGCAGGAAGAGTTGCAAGCGTCCGTCACCAGGGGAGCTAGTACAGCCCCGTGTGATGCCATTAGTGAATTCAGCACACCGAAGAAATCCAAAGAAGCACCATGGCGGCTTGGTAGAGCAGCTTGTCATGGCCATTCAGGATACTACTTTTCCGGCGTGCATCCGTCAGGTGTCGTAGGATTGGCATAGTTATAGGAAGGCGAGGGGTGAGTACAGCCGTACCATGGCATCGCTGGATGCCCTTCAACACCCTCTCCAGAAGCCACGCATCTATTAAGGGGCCGGCAAACCCATTCTCAAGGTGGGCTTTATGCACCGCACTCGCATACACAGATACAGTTCAGGGCACGCTGATCATAGTTCACGCATGAATGTGTGTCCAGGAACGATGACTCGGGCAGCAAAAGTGAGCTTCCCCAGGAGGGACTCGAGTTGACGCTGGCCGATGCTGCGCTCGCTGATAGTAGCCATGAGTGGCGCACGGATCTCGGACAGCTTGTCCTCTGGTAGCCGCAGTCTAGGAAAATACCAAGGTCAATGATGGTGATGGCCCTCGAGCTGGGATGGAGCAAAGAGGAGTGCCGAGATACGTGAATGCCCGGAGGGGGGGGTGGTGAGTTGCTGGTTGGCTGCAGCCAAACCAGTGGAGATATCGAGAAAGTCATCGAGGTAATGAAGCCGGTGATCTATAGCAAACTCGTGCTGCATGATCCAGTTGACTGCTGTGGCTACTGAGTCAAAGACGGTTGGGCTGGAGCGGAGGCCGAAAGGCAGAAAGCGCTCGTAGTAGTAGGAGCCTTCCCAGCGAAGTCCTGACGGCGGACTGGGATCTGCCGAAATGCACTGCGTACATCGAGCTTGGACAAATACACAGGCTGTGGGCATGACATGATGATGTTGATCGCGTTGTCAATGCTCGCGTAGTGCAGAGAGAGCGGCTCGGCAGGAATGCTGTCGTTCGCGCCGGTGCCTTCCGGACTAGACAGATGGTGGATCATTCGCAGCTTGCCGTTCTTTTTGGGGATGGCACCAATACCAGAGCGGCGCATGAACTGAAATGGAGGTGACGGAAATGGGCCTGTGGTCTCGCTGCGGGCGCAGGAAGCAGCTAATTGCTCGGATATAAATGCCGAGTGAGTGAAAGCCAAGGGTAGATTATTAGAGAAAACCGAAATGTCGTGTTGGCCGGCAGATCCAAGAGTAAAGCCACGGCGCAGCCCATGGAGAACATACGCAACGCATTATTGATATGAGTGGTTACGTAACAGGCGGGCAAAGTGGTCAGCTAGCAGTGTGGTGTCTGCAGAGTGTATAGGAAAGAAGCTACGTACCGAGTCAAGCTATTCAGTAGCCATTCTGCTAGGAGCGGCGGGGTGGCCGATTGGCTCCGCGCTGCTGCTGGTTGCACATGATGCATGGGTGGTCCTTGCCACACTGGCTGCAGGTGTGGGAGAAGCGGCACGACGACGAAGAACAGCGACCTCCATTGAAGTTGCGGCAGATTTCTTGGCTGTCGCTGGTATGGTTGCGACCACTGGAGGTAAATGCTGCTGGCTTGGGGACGAAAAGGACACAAACCGCCCCTGGATGGGCCGTCTTACATTGAGCGCATTTTGGGTGTGCATGGCCTGTGACAGCTATCTGCCATAGGTTCACGTCGATGGTGTCCAACCTCTTCGTGCCTGGTTACTGGGCCACGAGCAGCCGCAGCTGGCGGTCGTACTCTAGCCACGCGCTTGGGAAGAACTGGCGGTTAGCAGTCAGGATCAACTGCTGGTACGCAATCAGTTCAGCAGTTCAGCAGTGCGGTGTAGGGCAGCAGCCGTGATAACAGACATGTATGTGGTCCATGCCTCGAGCCGGGTAGTTACATGTATAATTATCGTGAACCTTGTGACGCACCTGCTTCGCGTACGGTCATCCGACTCAACGATATTCAGCTGGCTATCGTTATTCGGGCTGTGCACCAGCCGGAATGTTGGGCCGGAAGTGTGCAAGAATTTCAGGCAACCAACTTGAAAAATCTACGAACTCCCCTCGCAAGATACGTTCTTGCACAGCCTTGGGCACAGCTGGTGCAGGTGGCTGATCGGGTGGGTTACAAGGGCTTGGCCTGGCGTAGTGGCGGCAGCAGCCGCATTGCCTTGGCCTTGGGTGAGGAGCGGCACAATGCTCTCCGATAATAATAAAATGGCGGCCGACAAAGCCGACTACACCTCGTCACGTAGATCTACGGGAGCGCAGATCCCATGTTGAGCCCGCGTCACCTGAGCTGGCGGAGGAGGCATTGGTGCAAGTCGGGCTTCTGGGCTCGCGAGCCGTGTCCGCACTGTCATGTTGCTGGTTCTCCTGGCCGGAGCAGACCTCACTACCAAGGGCTAGTTGTGCCAGCAAACGGTCCTGTAAAATACTTTTACTAAGTTTCCTTTCGGATTCAAGCCGCGCTGAGAAGGCTCGCCGCGGGGGCTTGGCAAGGCATTGCCTTGACAGTGTCGACAGTTAGGTCAGACATACTGAAGAAATACAGTGTCGAGGTGACACTCGGGCTGGCAGCAAAGCTACGAAAGGAAAAGAAACACTGCTGAAGCACGATCCGTTGTCTGGAAGAGCACAACAGGGCAAGCAAGATTTGTTTTTCTTTTCCGCAAAATGGGCTGGTGCCATTTGTGATTACGCAGCAAAACAAAGCGCATGACGTCAGTCTTGAATGCAGTACAAAGCAATGCAGTGCAGTGTGTGCGCTAGTTCGGATTGTTGCTAACAAGTACTAGCACAGCTAGTACACCAGCCAGAGTAGCTAGGAAGTATTTGTTACGTAAAAAAGTCAATGTAGATAGATGCGAAACGAAATCCCAGTTAAAGGGGAAGTTAAGGCAAAAATTAAAATTTCACCAGTTGTAGTCTTCGGGGTGCTGAGTCGAATGGTCTTGGTCCGAGGAAGCTGAGACGCTCCCTTCCTACTTGAATCCCAATCGAACTCGCGCACTTCCACCGAAACTGGGTGACTGCGCCCTACTAGATGGGGATTTGTATGCAAAATGTCACTAAAAGCGCCATTTCGTTCTTATAAAAGCACGGATGACCGCGATTGGCCCATATGTTGTAGTCTTTTGGACGCTGAGTCGACTGGTTTTGGTCCGAAAAGGCTGCGATGCAGCGTTCCTCCTTTATTCCCAATCGAACATGGTTGAAGAAGCGGTCACGTGGTGCTGGGTGCTCAAATCACCTGGTCACCACGCCAGCAGGTGACAACTTTCACACCAAGGTTCAACTCGAGTTCAACTCGAGTGACAGGACTGCACCCAAAAAAGGTCAAAACAGGCTAGTATTGAGTAGTAAGTTGTACCCTGCAGGCACGGTGACCAGGTGACTGGTGTACGCAGGAGCACGTGACCGCTTCTTCAACCATGTTCGATTGGGAATAAAGGAGGAACGCCGCATCGCAGCCTTTTCGGACCAAAACCAGTCGAGTCAGCGTCCAAAAGACTACAACATATGGGCCAATCGCGGTCATCCATGCTTTTATAAGAACGAAATGGCGCTTTTAGTGACATTTTGCATACAAATCCCCATCTAGTAGGGCGCAGTCACCCAGTTTCGGTGGAAGTGCGCGAGTTCGATTGGGATTCAAGTAGGAAGGGAGCGTCTCAGCTTCCTCGGACCACGACCATTCGACTCAGCAACCCGAAGACTACAACTGGTGAAATTTTAATTTTTGCCTTAACTTCCCCTTTAAACGCCGTTTGTGACTTAAAGTCCTTGCACTTTCGCAGACAAGTATCAGCTCTTGTTACTCTATTTAAACTTATACATATATCTCCAGAACACCTCCAACATTTTCACCTTTCACTGTCTTCAAGTCCAAGAAGACCAAACAAACTTAACATCAATTATCACGGTGTGCGTTTTTTTTCCCTCTTTTCCAACAATGCTGTAATGCTATCGAATTGCCTACCGCCTTCTCTTACCTCTATAACCAGCCTCCCCGAATTCAAGCATTCTCTCTATCAGCATTTTCGCCGATATATTCATTACACTGACAGTATCCCAACTCCTTAACTTAATTACCAGATTTTGCATGCCTCGATCTATTTCCTTAGCCTATCCTCGATTAACTGCTCCCTCTACATACAGTTGTCGTTTCATTATTCTTGCAGGAGATCCCCTCGACAGGCCCAAAGCCTTTGGGAAATCCTTAAATATACTAAAATACAAAGACAAAGACACAAGCTTTCCAACTCTCTTTGACCGTTGGAAAGCGTTCCATCCATCGTGTACAAATACACAGACGTCAGCAAGCGATGGACAGCCGAGAAAGTCGCGGTTCCTCCGAGTTTCCTGCGAAAGTACTCATCAGACAACTAACTTCATAACTACACTAGTCCAAGGGTAGAAAACAGCAAATAAATTATGTGAACACTGAGTTACAAATATGGACAAGTACCTACACTGTAGCAGCTGTACAAGTAGTCGAGTACATGTATAATGCCAATCAGTGTCAATCACTCTATAAAGTATATTGTCATTCAGTTATCACTCTATTATTTTCTAGGCTTGAGGGTCTTTCGCACGCCCCGCGTGTCCCCCGTGCGCACGCCCCTGCACTAGATCTGGGTGTGAACACGGAGGCAGAACTCGCACCAGTATATGGGACAGAGGGCCAATGAGTGTTCGGATCGGTGCCGCTGGGCATTCAGCTTCCCTTTAACTGTGGCGGTGTCCAGGCTTGCTGTTTCCACTGCTCCAGATAATGCTGCCATTGCAGCTGCTCCTGTTGTAGCTGCTCCTGTTGACGCTGCTCCTGTCGAAGCTGCTCCTGTTGAGTCTGCCAATGAGAGTTCGGATCGGAGCCGCTGGGCGTGCTGCTTCCCTGCGAAGCTGTTCTTAACTGTGGCGGTGTCCAGGCTTGCTTTTTCCACTGCTGCAGATAATGCTGCCATTGCAGCTGATCCTGTTGTAGCTGCCACTGCTGTTGCAGCTGCTCCTGTCGAAGCTGCTCCTGGTGAAGCTGCTCCTGTCGAAGCTGCTCCTGTCGAAGCTGCTCCTGTCGAAGCTGCTCCTGTAGAAGCTGCTCCTGTTGAAGCTGCTCCTGTTGAGTCTGCCAATGAGAGTTCGGATCGGAGCCGCTGGGCGTGCTGCTTCCCTGCGAAGCTGTTCTTAACTGTGGCGGTGTCCAGGCTTGCTTTTTCCACTGCTGCAGATAATGCTGCCATTGCAGCTGATCCTGTTGTAGCTGCCACTGCTGTTGCAGCTGCTCCTGTCGAAGCTGCTCCTGGTGAAGCTGCTCCTGTCGAAGCTGCTCCTGTCGAAGCTGCTCCTGTCGAAGCTGCTCCTGTTGAAGCTGCTCCTGTTGAAGCGGCTCTTGTTGAAGCTGTTCCTGTTGCAGCTGCCACTGCTGTTGCATTAGCATCCCGGATCGCTGTTGCAGCTGCTGCTCTTGAAGCTGCTGTTGCTGCTGCTGTTGCCCTGTCATGAGTGTCGTTGCGTTGGCATGCGTGTGTGTCGATGTTATCTTTTCTTGTCGCCGGCGGTTTTGAAACCAGACCTGATACACAGCAATCACAGGAAAGAAGCGCAGGTGTCATTATAATAATAACGTCATTGCTGACTGCTAGGGAGCATAATAGATAGATAGAGAGAGAGAGATAGAAATAGCTGCACCGTAATCTAACATCTCGAAGCGCTGCAACCTGTGTCTGGCCGAGAAGCTAGAGATTGCGTGGGTCGACAAGACGCGCTCCCTCAACAAGAGGGCAGAGCTTGTGTCCAAGTGTCGTCATGAAAACAAGTTCTACCTTCGTAACATTTCCGCAAGATTACGTGAATCTAACTGGTAGTCATGCTGCCGGTTTTATGTGTGCGCGCGCGTGAGCGAGAGAGTGAGAGAGTGAGTGAGAGAGAGAGAGAGAGAGAGAGAGAGAGTGTGTGTGTGTGATTGGATGAGTGTGGGTGCAAGTATGTGCGTGGTGGTTGTGAGAATGAGCGGATGAGTATTGTGGGCGTGCGTGTGCGGGTGTGAGAGAAAATGTGTGTGTGTGTGTGTGTGTGTGTGTGTGTGTGTGTTGTATTGTATTTTATTATTTTACTTGGGCATTCCCAACAGACCCTAGGTCTTCTTACAGGGTGCCCAAGATGAATGAAATTGTTTAGTTCCTGGCGAAATGAATTGGGGATATGATTTGTGCGAAGGGATTCGGGAAGCGCATTAAAGCGGTCAGCATCAAGGAATGAGATAGATCTGTATCCAGCTTGAGCTTGCACAATGGGTAAGGAAAGGGAATAATTGACTTGGCCGCGGGTTACTCTGTCTGTGTGAGCACAGTCATGGCGAACGGAGAACATGTCAGAGAGGAGTGAACTGCAGATATTGTGGATGCAACGGAACACGAAGAATATGGACTTAGTATGATATCTTTTGTCTAAGCTAACTATGTGGTATCGCTCAAGCAAGTATGATGTCCGCGTGAATGTGTCATGCTCAAATATGCATCTAAGTGCTCTCTTACTTATGCGTAGCAGCTGATCTCTCACATTGTCAGCGAGGCAGTGGACGTAGGCAGTGCTGGCGTACTCGAGCTTGCTCTGGACTACTGACAAGTAGAACTGCCTTCTGGCCTGGACAGCAAGGTTCCTCCTTCCACGTCGAAAAGCACCTAGTTTCTTTCCGATGTCTTCCCTGAGGGAGTTAACGTGGGCACTGAAACTTAAAGTTGAATCGAGAGTCAGTCCTAGATACTTAACTTCGTCAGACGGGGCAATAACAGTCGAACCACAGACAATGCTCAGGTTAGGTGGAGGATGTGAGCGTCTGCTGTGGATCAGTAGTACTTGGCTCTTGCTGGAGTTCAGGAGCAGGCCGCGATCTGTGAGGTGCTGCTTCACCGCTGATAAATCGTCTTCTAAGTAAGACGTGAGAATTCGTGGACACTTTCCAGAGGCATACAGGGTGGTGTCGTCTGCATAAAGAAGGCTTTGGGAACGCAATGGCAGAGTGGGGACAAGTAGAGTGTAGATGCTGAAGAAGGTAGGGCCTAGGACGGAACCCTGGGGAACGCCCCTAGTGCAGGTTCTACAGTCACTTGTGGTTCCGTTCACTTCCACGCGTTGCTGTCGGTGAGACAGATATGACTTGAACCACTCAAGAGCATTCCCACGGATCTTCAGATTGTGAAGGTCATCTATTAGCGTTTGGTGGTGGACGCGGTCAAAGGCTTTGCTCATATCGAGCAGCAGTACGGCCGTATAGTCTCCGGTATCCATGCTTCTCTGCCAGTTATTGATGGACGATATTGCCTAGGGTATCTGACAAAGATGAGAGGGAGGCTTTCGGTGTAGGGTGGGATTTTCTCCTTCCAATTAGTTGATTCAGCACTGCCCATTGGAGTCTAGGATTTCCTGTAGTGGCACTGAACTTATCTTTGTAGTATACACTTTTCAGTTTGCGGTTTAGTAAAGTTCCTTGACGACGTATTGCACGATACTGCTGTCGGTGTGTGTGTGTGTGCGTGTGTGTGTGAGTGTGTGTACGCGTGTGTGTACATGTATGTGTGTGAGATTTAGAGAATGTGTGTGTGTGTGTGTGTGTGTGTGTGTATGTGAGAGAGGGAGAGAGTGTGGGTGAGTGATGGTATGTGTAAGAGTGAGATAATATGACTTTTGTGTGCAATGGTGTACTGTAGGCATGTGTGGATTTGGCACCGAAGTCCCAGCTCTATTTTATTCTATTGTTATTAACACCGGAACTGCTGCTGTATAGCCCCAAGTCTAAAGACTTAGAAACTTCTCGTGAATACGTGAAACTCGGAGTTGCACCACAGCTTCCAATCTCTCTCTCTCTCTCGTGTGCAGTGGGCTCTGCCCTATGTGGGTATTGAGCACTCTAAAGTGGAGCACGCTACTTGATTTCATAGAGATAGATAGAGTTCGATCGAGATAGAGAAAGAGTTAGATAGAGAGATAGAGAGAGTTAGAAAGATAGATAGATAGAGAGAGATAAATAGATAGATGGATAGATTAATAGATAGGCGGATAGATAGATATATAGAGATAGAGAGATAGAGAGAGAGAGAGAGAGAGAGAGAGAGAGAGAGAGAGAGAGAGAGAGAGAGAGAGAGAGAGAGAGAGAGAGAGAGAGAGAGAGAGAGAGAGAGAGAGAGAGAGAGAGAGAGAGAGAGAGAGAGAGAGAGAGAGAGAGAGAGAGAGAGAGAGAGAGAGAGAGAGAGAGAGAGAGAGAGAGAGAGAGAGAGAGAGAGAGAGAGAGAGAAAGAGAGAGAGAGGGAGAGATAGAGAGGGTGAGAGAGAGAGAGAGAGAGAGAGATAGAGAGAGAGAGAGAAGAATTCTCCTAGCAACAGCCGAACATTATCGCACCCGAAAGCTAAATGCCAACACACCTTTATTGTCCTCTCCGGTAAATCAAGATCGGTAGCAATCCCCAACATATCTGGAATGTTGGGACACTCATTTCTCTGAAAGAATGCAATGAGAGAGGCCCTCTGCCCGGGCGTGAATACCGTGCGCTGTTTGCGACCTGCATGTAATCACCATAGAAACAAGCCAGGCAACTATTTGTAGATTTATTTCACATTGGCCACGCGACCATACAGCCTAGTATGGCAGCTACATGTACATGTATGTTGCCTTCAACTCAAGTTATCCCCCCTCTCCCCTCGGGCTCCCCCGCCCCTCCCCTCGTGCTCCCCCGCCCCCCCCCCCCCCAACCTTCCCCTCCCTCCTCCATGGTACGGACAACTCAAAAATGCACAAATGTTTGTTTAAAAAAATAGAGAACTCGAGCAACTGGAAGTGTCCCTGAGAATCCAGAATTACAGGTACATGTAGGCACGTGTACAGGTCGCCGTTTTGCCTAGTAGTACCGGACCCGCGTTCAAATCGGGAAATTTTCTTCCTCTTTCTTTTTTGGTCGCCCTCTGTATACATGTAGTAGAGTACAACAAATACATTATACAGGTCGTCCCCCGTTAAAACGAGTCCGGTTAGTACATAAACCCCGTTAATACATAACATGTGTCAAGCCCCAGAGATTATGTATTAACGAGGGACGACCTGTACATGGTAAACTAGTGAATACCTGTACATGGTCATAACCAGATAACTCCCATCTCCTAGTTTGCATGCTTGTCGTGGACTCGTGGTGTGGATCTGGGCTCAGTGGGCCTAACTGAAAAGAGTCATGTTTCATGTCACACTTGTTGTGTTCGGTCCTGAGAGGGTGCAGGGAGGGTCACTAACCACCCTTGCGCTTCGGCAGGCCGATATCATCCCATGACCAGGCAACAGATGCAGCTGCTGCATGCCGGGGGGGGGGGGGGGGGGGGAGATTTATCAGATCCACTACCAAGAAATCTCATTTGGCGAGGTACTGAGTACGCACCAAGATGTATGCCGAGGCTCCTGGATCGAGGGGGCGAATTACTCTTGGTACTTAATACTACTCGCTGATGAACATGTATATGTACATGTACAGTCATGTACATGTACATATACATGTTTGAACAACATACACTGTGCCCACTCAGCTCTGTCCCCGCGTGCCTGCAGCCTGTCAATAATATGAACTCCGAAGTAGTAAAATACCTACTCCCTGGCACTCTACTCTCGCCAGGGTACTCTCTGGTGTGCACCCCTTGTAATAAAAAAGTACTCAACACTGATTGTATACTTCCAAGATG